GAGCTGCCGACCGAATCCTTTGCGTCAACGTACCGGTCGGTCTCTTGAAAACATTGCTGGTTTAAGCGAGAGTGACGCCGAAAGCCGAAAACATCAATACGGCATCGTTCTCAACAACTTTAAATTTCACGAAGCACTATGCAGCGAATTTTGACAAAAGACCTCCACCTTCATGCGTACAAGATTCAGCTAACTCAGGAGCTCAAACCAGCAGACCATAGAAAGCGCCGGCAATTCGTTCAATGGACAATGGAGCAAAGTGGAGTAAAGTCGATGAAGTGTACAAAATTGACGAATTTGGAGCTCAGATAATCCTCATGCATGAGAAACAAATGCACCCACAAAAAGCAACTGTCTGGTGCGGATTTTGGTCAGGCGGCATGATTGGGCTTTACTTTTTTTAAGAAAAGGCCGAAATTGCAGTGACTGTAAACGGCATTCGTTGCAGGAATATGACAACGGAGTTCTTATAGCTTCAACTGGACGGCATGAATCTGGACAACATGTGGATTCAGTAGGACGGCGCCACCTGGCACACCGCGCATGAAACAATCGAATTATTGTAACAACGATTTTCAGAAAACATTATCTCACGAAATTCTGATGTCAACTGGCCGCTAAGATCGTGCGATTTAACGCCGTGTGATTTTTTCTTTGGGGTTTTGTGAAATCTTGGTTTTATGCGAAACCAGAAACAATTCCTGAGCTCAAATCAGAGATCCAACGCGTCATCGGTGAGATACAGGCACATCTCGGTTTAAAAGTCATGGAAAATTTTATGAAAAGAGTCATTGGCCTGTCATCAGCACAGAACATATATACCCCTAAAGGGGAAGAATAACGACTCCATACTATTTTTATGAGGAAATTTTTCCTTACCGGCCGGCGCCATCTATGCTCCGCCCACCAAAACTAGACAGTAGAAGCTAGGGCGGGAAATTCAAAACAGATACTTTGTATTGCATTTTATGCACAAGTACAGTGCGTTTCTCGATAGTGTTCATCAAGATGGTCAATTATTTCTCAGCAAAAACAATTGACATCTAAACGACATCACTATCGAGAAACACACTGTACTTGTGCATAAAATGCTGAAAGCAATTATTATGGAAATAATTATGGAACAGTGTAATAAAAGAAACATTAGTATTTGACTTTTTTATTTAGCATAATATTCATTATAATTTATCAGATATTCATATTATAAGCAACTATATACTAATTTTACATGAATAAATGTGTTTTTGGATTATATATTCATTTGGGACAAAAGGTGTTCACAAGTATGTGTATGTAATTTTTTTGCGTGTGTTGTGGCCACCCTCTAGTGTCAGAGCTTATTAAGTCGCCTCTGGGAATCCCACAGGCCTCTGACGTGGCGTGTATGTAATGATAATTAATCACAAAATTTATCGCTTAATCTAAACACAAATTAAACATAATATTCTAAAAATGAGATACTACATACAATTTGAAAATACAGCAAGCATCTTCGACCATATGGTCTATTGCATACAATTTTAACATCAAAAACCTAGACAAGGTCAAACACAAGTTTACACTTTACAGACATATATCATAATATTATATAATATGTATTATTTCAGTTTAATAAAATAAATAAAGAAATGGTTAACAAGAGAGATACTTATTATTTTTGTTGAAGGTAGACAGATCTGACCAATTTAGCTACACTGTCGTCCATTAATAAAACAAGTTGTAAAATAATAAATAAAGCATAATCAGCCTATAATGAAATGAAATGATGAAATGATATTTATTTCTGTAAGTAAATCTTTTCAGATATTTTTACAAGTCGGACTTTATAGCTAGAAGGAGCCGGCATTTCCTAAGACTCACTCTGGGAAGAAACACCGAAACAAACCACAGAGGTGTCTTTTTTTTTTAAGTCCGTAAACAAAGTTAATTAAAACTGTGCGAGTACAGTATAGGGTCTGGATAGGCCTTTTGAGGAAAGGATCATAGTTTTGAGTCAACCTGTCCATACAGACGGCATACAGGCTCCAGCCATCGTGTAGCCTAACCGATATTGGTCAAGATCAACGACCCGAAGCATGACACTACCGCCAGCAGGACATTTGGGTAGGCCGTGGAAACACTCAAAACCACCAGAAAGATAATAAAAAATTAATTAACATTACAAGCCTACACTGTACTCACATTTACATACTTACACAAAAAATAAAAAAATACTATACAGTTCAAAGTCAACGAAAAATAAAATACGAAAACAAAATACGAAATACACCAAAAATTAATAATTAAATGTCCATCACTTTCAAACTTAACAACAAAGATGTCTACGTAAATGTGGGAGTGAGCAGCATCAATCCCAAGCAAATTTGTCGTCTAAATAATCTGTAATAGTGTAGTAAGCCTTTTCACATAGTTTTAGCTTTACTAAAGACTTAAATTTATTAATACTTAATTCATGGAATTTGCTTGGCACTTTATTGTAAAATCGCACACCCTGACAATGAAAAGACTTGCTTACTTTTTGTAGTCTAGTGGTTGGTAACACGAGTTTATCTTTATTTCTAGTGTTTATTTTATGCATGTCGCTAAACTTTGTGAATAAATGATTATTTTTCTTTACATACACTAAATTTTCATATATATATTGAGATGCGACTGTCATGATACCAATTTCTTTAAACTTATCCCTCAGTGACTGCCTATAACTAAGATTATAAATTGCACGAATAGCTCTCTTTTGCAACACAAAGATACTTTGAATGTCAGCAGCATTTCCCCACAACAAAATACCGTATGACATTACACTATGAAAATAGCTAAAATACACCAGTCTAGCTGTTTCTACATCGGTTAATTGACGAATTTTGTAAACCGCGTATGCTGCAGAGCTGAGTCTATTCGACAATCCGTCAATGTGTGGGCCCCATTGCAATTTAGAGTCTAGTGTTATACCTAAAAACTTGGTGGTGTCCACAAGATTCAACTCCTTTCCATTTATTAGAACATTGGTCTTTACCTGTTTAACATTAGGTGTAAAAAATCTAATACATTTCGTTTTATTCTCGTTTAAAAGTAAATTATTAACATTAAACCAGTTTACAACCTTAGAGAGAGTGCTAATCACGACATCAGTTACTGATTGCTGTCGTTTAAGTTTAAATAACAGTGAAGTGTCATCCGCAAATAGTACTATCTCCTGATTATCATTTTTCCACAAATATAAAAAAATGTAAAAAATGTTCTGTTCTGTGGATTTTTTTTTCCTCTTCTTAAATCTGATGTCGACGCGTTTACTCCATCCAACAGTTCATCCATGTCTTTAATTAAATTACCCGTTGCCACTGCTCCAGTCGGCATGTCTCCTGAAAATTGTCGATCTGGCAGATTAGAAATTGGTGTGTCCTGAAAATGAAAGGTTAACATATTTATTTTAAATAAATTAATTTAAATCCTTAAATTAATATAAGTCATAGTTGAGGTAAGCAAATTATATATATAAGAAATATTTATAACTAGCTTCTGCCCGCGGCTCCGCCCGCGTAAATGTTTAATTATTACTAAGTCAATATTGGATCTCATTATTTTGTAGTTTCTATCCAAGTTCCTAACATTGTGATAACACGAAGTTCCTGACGGCACTTTTAAGTCTAGGTCTTGGAAATAGTACTTCTAGGTATAATAAAAATCTAAAAAAAATCTGTGCGTTTCGTTTTACTTACCTTATTATGTAAATAAAGTTCAAAAGCGAAAATTTGTTAAAAATCACTACCCCGGGGGGAAAGGGTTAATAATCATATTTTTAATTAAGTTTTATCTAAATAACAATCTAAACTTTCTGTATTTTCTTTGATTGAAAGAGATTTAAAGGATGTAAACGAATAGCATGGAAAGTACTTAGGTAGGTACATACCGCAGAGCATTTTTTGAGCCAGGCTTAGGAAACCGATGCAAAGTGATGCTGGAATCTTTAGAAGGTGAAGATCCACACATGCAACAGATTCTAGTGTTTTCTTTCTGCGAACTCATTGCGAAAATTAAACACACAATCAAACAAGAGTCACTATCTCAACACCGAGTCTATATCTCACAAACACACACTTAATTTCACCAAAACACAGCCACGGAGGAGCAAACTCGACTCACGGTAACAATGTATGTAGAATTAAATGCAACTAGTTTATTTATTACAAATAAACATAGGTACAAGATAAAATGGTGCGGGAACCGCAGGCAGACATTTTTCTTGTGACGTCAAACGTGTTGCCAGTAGTTGCCACACATTTTCCCCCTTATCTTTTTTTTGTTTTTGTGTATTGATCAATTAAATATGTTATATTTCTTAGCAAAATAATTTTTTTGGGTATCAGAATAATCACAAAATGTATTTTTAAGGGTGACTTTCTTTTTTAGCTCATTGTTTTGGAGAATACGAAATTGTATTTTTGGTGGCAACATTTTATAATTCATCTCTTTTACTCTAATGTTGTTTTCTCTTTCTTGTTTTCAAGCCCACCTACATCTTGTTCTAAGAACAAAGTTGACAGACCCTGGTCATCAGAGCCGTGGAGGCCATTTGCCGGATATTTTATTTTAATCCGTCGCCCTTGTGTCGTGACGGATTAAGAATAGTGTGTAATTGAAAATAGTGTGAAATGTAATACTTACGTAATAGGGTAATGTCCGTACATTAACCTTTTACGTACATCTTACATAGTAATAGGGTTATGTCCGTACATTAACCTTTTACGTACGTATTACATGAGCATGATTATTATTATATTTGGCTTCTATACTGTTCTATGCTGTGTACACTGTTTTATTTGTTTCCTACGATTGACTTTTCTACAGATATCGATTGTTGAAGTCACGTGTTCAGTTGTGAGTTATAAAATACAAATATTAATTAATTTCCAATCATATACTCAAGGTTGTAATAATACAGTTGAACATGAATGGTGGCTACGGGGGCACGACAAACGTACGCTTAACATACCAAATGAATAATGAATTATAATTGGCTCTTCATTGCTTCACTGAGTAAGTTTATATTTTATACGTAATATAAAAGATAATTACTGCACGGATGGCGTAGTGGTTTAAGCGGTCGCCACGCCGCTTACTACTACGCTGAGTGTTGTGGGTCCGATCCCCACATGGGACTACACTTTGTATGATCCACAAATTGTCGTTCTGAGTCTGGGTGTTCTTTGTATCAGTTTCATGTATGTCCCCCGCGACCCTGGATATATTCCTAACGCAGGAGTTGTCTTTTAAAAAAAAAATAATCGTAAATCAACTCAGCACGCCCATGTAAACACACAAAACTGCCAGACTGTTTTGAAATCTGCGCATGAATCGGTCAGACATTTGTTCTGTGGGAAATGTACTTGAACTTTGTTTAAATCGCTTATCTTATTTTCTGCTCTTTTTTAAAATATTATTATTAATAAGAAAGAAATGAGTTTTAAGATAGCGTGCATTGGCATGAGATTTATATAACTATTTCCATATTAATTGTAATGTGTTTATTCTTTGAGCGCTCAAATAACTTTAAGAGTTTTTACCCTTATCAGCGACACTGTCCTTCAGCTACGGTGAGGAAACTAAGGTCAAAAACAAAACAACAATTAAACTGAACAGCAAATCCCCATCAGATCGTTGGCAAGCAAAGAAAAAATTCATAGGATCATGGATGGAACACGTGAGAAGACAATGGTATTGTAATTTTTCTGAACTAAGCAGTCACTCTGGGCGTTTATTAGATACAGGATGTATCTAATAAACGCCGAAAGTACTAAAAATGAGATGGTTGGGTGTTGAGGGACCTGCCTTATAGTAGGAGGCACTCGCATCGGCATCGAGCCCTCGATGAGGTATCTGGGGCTCGTACTTGATAGCCGATGGGACTTCGGACACCATTTCCGAAGTCTGGTCCCCAAGTTGGTTGAACTTTTCAACTCCACCGTCGCCTTCTGCGAGCAAGTTATGCTTGTTAAGGAGATGGCGGAGCGAGACCGGGAGAGGTTTAGAACTCTCCCGGCAACGGGCCAGGTAAAGCAGACGACTCAGGCGACGGAGGTCGCAGAATGACCTTCCTTAGCCTGGGGGTGGTAGATGAGGCCATATGTCACCCTAGCAGAAGCAGGCCGGGGTGGTGGCGATACGCGCTTAGAAGCGCGCGCGCCCTTTCGGGAGCACAAAGGGGACATAGGGGTTCCCACACAGTAGGGGGTCATTTACGCCCGTAGATGGCCCGAGGTACGTCGGGGTATCAGGTTTTTCCTTCCTAGGGTACACCTGGTTCCCCGGCAACTGGTACCCGAGACGGCGTGCAGTTTTTGGTCGGTTCAAGTCCGACATAACCACAGCTGGGTGCCATCCGAGGGGATTTTAAAAAAAAAGGGCCAAACGACCGTCGATCCGTATGTCAGGATCGGAGCGTACCTATAAATATTGCATTTAAAGATGTCCTGTAGTATAGTCCTATCATAATAATAGTAATACTCCACACTGACATCACATTAGTAGTATCTACAAATATTATAAATGTGAAAGTGAATTTGTTTGTTACGCTTTGACTCCCATACCGATTTTAAAAATTATTTCGCCAATGGATAGCTATATAGGCTAGCTTTACACACACACATAGGTTAACTTTTTAAAACTATATACTCGCTGACGGAGCCGCGGGCAAATTTTAACTGTAAATTTGCCCGCGGCTCCGTCAGAGTGCAAAGAATAAAACAACAGTCCTCAGCAATGAGGCTCCAACTACTAAACGAGGACCTGCTATCATATTTTCATAATATATCGCTTTGTTATGTAAAGTGCCACACTAATTAATATTTCCGTACATCACTTTGAAGAACTTAATAATCACTTTTTTGTAACAATAGGGAGGATGAGGAACCAGACCCTGAGAGGGGCCCTGTGCGCGAATCAAATTACAACCCAAGTTATGGCTACGAGCCGTACTGGCCCGGCGGCGAATGGGTCCATGTTACAACCCCGACGCCAAAAACACGGAAAACAGAGGCATCACCGAGAACACAAAAAACAGAGTATAGCCCTAGACTGCTTGGTGATATGAACTGTGGCCTTAAGTGCGGCGTTATTTACAAGACGTAAGATACAAACTTTGAAACTATTGCGTTCCATAGTATATAATGATGTTTTCACACAGATCTGTGACCACGGCAAGTGCAATCTGGTCGAGACTTCTGGTCGTAAGTAGACAGTCACGTGTTTATTTACAGAACGGTGGAGTCCTTTTTAAAAGTCGATCTATCGTACCCCAGGCGCCGTAAATAACTGAAAATGCTGACAAAATTCTAGAAATATCTATTTTCTTGGATATCTAGATTAACTGAAGTTGTCTGATAAAAAAACATATTAACAAAATTATTGAAATTAACCTCAAAATTTAATGTTTAGAAATACACAGGGAAAAGCATTTTCCGTTTTCTTAAACAATTTTTATGCAAACCAAGTAAATTATTGGAAGGGTGCACTTTCTGTAAACACCCCGTATACTCTTCATTGAACACTTAATAGAAAGCGAGGAATATATTAGTAAGTAGCAGTAGTAAATTAGGCAATCTGTGATCTCTTATTCACGTTAGTGATTTGGGATCAAACTGCCGTGTTTTAGATGTGTGAAGACTAGGCAGAGCCTATACTATCGTAACCAGACAGCTAATAAACATACTTATATATATATATATATATATATATATATATATATATATATATTAAATACGTAAATATTATAGATAAATTACACCCATACACAGAACAAATGACCGTGCTCATCACACAACATATGTCCTGGGTGGGAATCGAATCCACGACCTACGACTTAGCAGTGAGGGCCACTAACCACTAGACCAACAGGCCCGTCTCATCTCTCATTTTTTAAATAACCGAATTTATAGATATCGGATTAAATTTCCATTGTTAAAAATCTTAAACGTTTTTTGACAGGGAATGAATTAAAAATATAGCTGACCTGCAAATATTTATTTACAGGTCAGATATATTTTGAATATTTATGTGAATTGTGATTTTGTAATTATTTATTACTTGAAAGACTTTTATATTGTCATAATACTCGTAAAACTAAGTCACTAATTATATGACTCAGTATAGTACGCATATAATCAGAGAACGACCCGGATTCATTTCTATCGAATCTATTTTACATACATTAGAGAATTGTTGCATTACAGCAAATTGTTTGTTTTCCCTTCATAATAAATTTTGTTTTTTGTTAGGTATGGTGAAGTTTGTGGCCGGAACAAAAGGTTAGAGTACAGGTCCTTCCCTAACTATTGTGCACTGAAATCACAAGACTGCCAACGTGTTGACGGTATTGTATAAATAAAATTATGCATATTAAATTAGAGGCGCATGACCAAGTAAATAATACTTTATTTTCGCCAACAACTGCAGTTTTGTATCAAATGACACCTATTGGATTGAGGCAATATACTCGTATATCTATAGAAATGTTGAGTTGGTTTCCGTACGCTTCAAAAGCGCAAAAAGTTCTGCACTGATTGAGTCAAAAACTGCATATTTTTATTGTATAGATTTAAAAGGAATTAAATGGCATTACTTTCAGATTGGAGGGCAGTATACGCGGGGCCGTGCAAGACGGTCTCGTTGCTTTGGCCCACTAGCATTGTGTTTGGACCAAAAAAATATATTAACGATTTTCAAAGTAGATACCAAAATACCTTTGGTTTTGTCGCTACAAATGTTGGCTTTCCAAATTCGTACTTAAGGGTGATCAAAAAGTAGTGCAATGTGGTTTTATGTTACTTTCATGTAATAAAATGTTAAAGATAAACATCGTGTGACATTAATTAATCTAACCCATATGTTTAGTTTCACATCATCATCAACAGTCCACTGCTGGACATAAGCCTCTCCTTAGAAAGGAGGTTTTGGCCTACTATACCATGCTGGCCAGACGGGTTGGTATAGGGTTTGTGTCAAGTTTTTTAGTTTCACAACAAGCGTTTTATTTATTTTTGTATGACATAGGGGGAAACGAGGCGGAGCTCATGGGTAAGTGGTCACCGATAAGGTAATCAGTCAGATGGGTTTCACATTGAGACCCCTCCGTGTAACGGAGAGCAGGTGAAGGGGCGGTCCCTGTTGCCGAACATCTGTGGCAATATTTAAAAGTACGGCAACAGTCTATCCACAGAACTTCTAAATCAAATAGTACTTGGGTTGAGAAGGTCTGATGGCAGCCACTCACGCACTCCACATAAAAAATCCAAGTTCAGCTGTGTCATAATAGAGTGAAAGCTGACCCTAACCCAGTTCAGAAAAGGCTCGGAGGACGATGATGTGTTTTCTATGTAAAATATGTATGTATGTATTCTATCAGTCAAAATATTATGTCCGAAATATTATAGATCACTTGATAATTACAGGTTTTTTTATTTTAAAGAAAACTCCCGCACTAGGAATAAATCCTTTGTCGCGTTGGACTTCACAAACATACATGAAACGGGCACAAATAACACCCAGACTCCGAACAACAATTTGTGGATCACACAAAGTGTTGTCCCATGTGGGGATCGGACCCACAGCCCTAGAGTAGTAGTAAGCGGCGTGGCGACCGCTTACACCACTACGCTATCCATGCAGTCTACAATTAAACAATTGTAGCAGAAAACAGAACCTGTCACTGCACAATCTACAGATGTCAGCATCCACAGCCTATAACAGTCCACTGCTGGACATAGGCCTTTCCTCAGAAAAGACGTTTTGGCCTACTATAAACGTGCTATGGAAAGGGCTATGCTCGGCGTTTCCCTAAAGGATCGCATCAGGAATGAGGTGATCCGGCAGAAAACCAAGGTCACAGACATACCCTACCGGATCAGCAAGCTGAAGTGGCAGTGGGCTGGCCATATTAGCCGCGGAACCGACAACCGTTGAGGAAAACGAGTTCTTGTGTGGAGACCGCGTCTCGGCAAACGTAGTGTAGAACGCCTACAGGCCAGGTGGTGTGACGATTTACGCAAGATGGCTGGCAGGAGCTGGATGCGAGAAGCGCAAGGGTTTGTTTCAAGTTTTCCTTCTCTTTGCAGTGCTGTTGCCCTGCGTAGTTTGCTCCCTTAGTCGGCTCTTACGACACCCACGGGATGAATAGGGGTGGCGACATTCCGTATTCTTAATCCGTCACCACACGGACCACAGATGTGCACTTTCCTTTCAATTTCAGATCGGCTCGCGCCCCTGCCGTTGCCTAAAGACATTTCCTCGATATGTAACTATGATCTATATTCAATATCTTTATAGTAAACCGGGAAATATACTTTAGTTTTACTAAAACACTTAGTGCTTTTATATAGGTTCAGACCAGCGTAAAATATGTGACTTTTCACCAATGTCTGCATGCTATTTATTATATGATATTTATTATAATAGGTACAAGCACATTGTATGTATTACCCAATTCACCTTACATTCAGTTGTTGATAAGTATTCTGATATATACAACAATTACGGTGTACATAACATTCATAACAATATCAGTACAATAAAGTACAAATGAAATAAGATATGGATCTAATGGAACAGTTTTTAGAAATTTTGCTTAAAAAAGAAACAGTAAAAATAGCAGTAATAATAAAAATGTAAAAATAACTAAATATAATCACTAAACTGCACACTATTACAACTAGGCAATAACTTTGATTTTAAACTCGTTAAGCGGGCGTGGAAAATGTCGAGATCATTATTTTGCAATAACTTAATTAATATAATTGCAGCAAATTTGTGTCAAAAGTGATTGCAAGCCAAGGTTCGTCCTGCATACTGGTGTATAAAAAAGTTTAAGTATTTGTTGTCTGGGATAGCGATGAGGAACGGATAATGAAATCCTTCCAAGCAATTCGCTACATTAACTGACCGTTTTCTACCCTACGTACAAAGTAAACACCCGACATTTGCCTCCAGTCGCGTAAGCGTCGTGGAAGGATAGAGGGAACTGCAAACCACAAACATATTTTTTTGTGTTATTCGTTTTAATCGAGCATATGGGTCACCTAGTCAGTAAGTAGCTGTCGCTGACCATGGACTCCTACAGCTCAAGAGTCATAAGTGCGTTTTAGCCCTTTGAGTGTCTTTAAGGGTAAGGTGGGGGCTCAGTCACTCGGTGAAACGTCACGAAGGAATAGATCACTCTGGTCGAGACGGCCCATCTGCGTCGAAGCATGGTACTCAAACAGTTAGTTAAGTCACCTTCTAAATACAGAAAACAACATCAACATCGGTCCATGCGTTTACGAGTTATGAACTTTAAATAGACACACAGATACATAAGTTAAATTTATAAAAAGGGAAGGGCTCTTTTCGTTGGCAGTCAAAAAATAAACCCTACCGTACACACCCTACTAAGGAAAACAGTTTTCATAAATGTTTTAAGAAAACTGTTTATTTAAATTTAATAAATAAAGACGCATAAAATAGTTTTCAATTTTGTATTAACAGTTTGTGACTCGCGAGTTCTTAGTATCTTCTTTTATTATCCCTTCTTCAAATCACAGCTCACTTCTCATAAAAACTGAATCCAAATCAATAACGCCTATACATAGATATATATATATCTATAAAGGATTAGAAATTTAGTTGTAATATCGCTTGTATACCAGCCTCAATGTAATAAATCATACTTTATAATAGTTCAGCAAAAATTATACTAACGTAAATCATAAAAAATGTGTGGGGTGGTCAACACGACGCGATAGTCGACTACAAGCCGGCATCAATCAACCTTAGTGTCCGACTAAGGAGCGCCCGGGACTACGCGAGAAGCCTCCGAAGGGTCCGGATTATTATAGGCTTTTTAAAAGGAAGCAGCAGTCATTTTTTCCCTGGGTGACGTTGAATTTAAGTAAGGCAATATGCGGCATCACGTCAATTTTATTGCTAATTATTGAATAATCTAGTATTGTTTATTGTTCGTTGAAGAAATTATAATAATTAATCTGCTTTAATGGCCACTGTTCCACTCCTAAATAGTCTTTTTTTTAAAGGTTTACCAGCAACCAAAATTACTAATATTCCCGTTAACCACTCCCGTTGAGCTAAATTGCTGGTGTTAG